TGCTCTTCCGATCTCCCCAAAACCCCAAAACCCCAAAACCCCAAAACCCCATGAGTCAACTATAAGTCGTAGAAATTTATATTTGAAATTAAATAAATTTTAGAAATAAGAAATGAATAAAGATTATTACAGCGTTTTAGGAGTTAGTCCTTAAGCATCCGATCCAGAGATTGCTCAGAAATTCAGAGTGCTTGCTTTAACTTACCACCCAGAAAAGAATAAGAGTAATATGGCCTAAGCTAATTATATCTTCACCTAAGTGTGTGAAGCTTACGAAGTATTAAGTAACCGTAAGTATAAAACTGTTATTACTCTATGAGCAGCAAATTATCTTTGCTAAATATTATCCGTTTTATTTCCTCTGAGCAGCAAGTTTTCAACTTATTTTATAGCATAATTAAGAGAGGTTTACGACAGATATGGCGAACATTTACTTAAGAATGGAGTGCCTGAAGCTAAGTTAGGATTCAAAGGAGGCTATAAGTTTAGTGGAAACACACTTGAGATTTTTGAGAAATTTTTCGGCACATCTAATCCATTCACAATTGCCCTAGATGGTAAATTTAAATGATCTTAATCATTTTACTCACAGACAATGGAAATACTCTTTCGTTAGTTGAACAGTTTTAGCAGAAATATCAGAGATTGTTCTTCAAAAAATTCTAGGAGCTTAGAGTAAATGTTGAGTGCACACTAGAGGAATTCTTTTTCGGTTGCAAAAAAGAGATACTATTTGAAAGGATATAATTAATGGCAGATGAGAGAAGTGAAAAGGTTCAAGTAATCAGCAGAGAAATTGAGATCAAACCAGGCATGGGTCCTTGGACTGAGCTAAGATTCCCAAAAGAGGGCCACTAGAGATTTGCTAATGAACAAAGCGATTTGATTATTCAATTGATTGAGGAGAAGCATCCTCATTTCGAGAGAAGTCAGGATGATATAATATATAATCATAAAATCACTCTAGCTGACAGCCTTTTATCTAAACCAATCATTTTCACTACCATTGACAATGAGATGATCGAGATAGCAATAGATGAAGTAATTTGCCCTCAAACACAAAAAGTTATTCCAGAGAAAGGGATGCCAATTTTTAATAACGACCCTCTTGGCCCACTGAGAAAATCTTATCAAAGAGGAAATTTAATAGTGAGATTCGATATAGAATTCCCAAGACAACTTACATTCAGCCAAAAGTAGGAACTAACTGACATCCTTAATGAAGAAGAGTGAATTCTTTAAGTTAATAAGAGATGGAAGCAATTATATATTTTTAATTGTTCATCAAAGTCTCTAATCTATTCCTTATGGGGTTTTGGGGTTTTGGGGTTTTGGGG